GCACTGCCAAATGGAAGGACGGGGCTTGACAGGGAGAGAGACCCTCTGGAGGAGCCTTAGTGAGTGGTTGTGAAGTGCTTTGAAGAGGAAGAGTGTGAGTGTGTGTGTGTGTACAAGCATCCAGGCCAATGGGGGCCCCTTTGTCCCTCTCCTTCCTCCCATTCCTCTCTGCAGGGTGGTTTTTGTGGCAGTCTCCATTGTGCACCCCAATGGCTTGCACAGAGAAATGGGCAAAGCCTGCCAAGGAAGGGCACAGGGTGCCACACAGCGCTCCCAGGTGAAGGCCACCCCAGAGCCAAGGGATCCACAGCCACCCTCCCAGCAGTGGGGAGGCAGAGCAGGACCCAGGGGACACACACATGACTTCTCCCCACATTCAGGCAGGGTCCCTGCAAGCTTGGTCCAGCAGAGTGCACTTCCTTTGGTCTTCTCGGAAGGACCTCGCCCTCCATTTACTGAGTCCAGGGCCTTCCAGAGTCTTCGGGGAGCAAGAACCCCGCTCCAAGCAGAAGACAGTGTGACTGTATTTGGCTTCTCACTCAGAATTTGAGGCTGGCTTCCGGAGTGTTTCTGACCAAGGCAAAACTGACCTAGGCTTGTATATCATGAGTCCTGCTTCCAAGGAAGGAAAATCAGAGAAATGAAGCCTTGTCATACAGAAAGCACCGGATCAACTGTGCTCCCTAAGCCAAAAGAGAGACCTGTGCTATTTTATTTTCCTTACAACGGTTATTTGAAACTGTTATCAATCGGTAAGTAGATGTAATCACAGGCAAGGTTCTGCAGGTATAATCTTGATCAAACCAGCAGCAGGGCCAGGGCTCTGAAAAGATCAAGTCCCCATGCCCTCCCCCTTCATGCACTATCTTTAAGCCCCCACCCCCCAGTTCCCCTACGGCTCTGAGTCCCCCAGGGGCACTTACCCCAGGTCCCTTCAATCCCGCTGGATGGCAGTGCCTCTCGAAGCAGAAGCAGCGGTGAGGTGCTGGGCTTGAGCCCGGCACAACCATCCAACAACCCGGTTGGGCTCAGCCATCTCAACTTGTCTCACAGGTGACTCAGGGGCAGCTTGAGGAATGTGTAATGTAATATTAATCTGGGCCCCAGCGGCTGTGTCCTTGGACGTCCACCTGACAAGTAGACCTAAGTTGCTGTTGTCAGGTGCCCTTGAACTGTCTGGAGCAAAGGAAGGAGCCACTCAAAGGCTCTGTGTCTTATGAATGTTAGTGGAGGACTGACTGGAGGAGGGAGCCCACCACCTCCTTCTGACTTGCAGACCAGCTCTTTGTCCAAGAATGAAAATTCTATCGGACTCTTTGGGGCATTAATGGTGGGCTCCTGGAAGTGACAAATGTGAGGTCCCTGCTGGGCTCTCTTGTCTGTGGGGGCCCAGAGGTGGGCAGAGGAAGCTTGCATTGCCTAATAGTCTACCACCCAGGAGAGGAGCGGGGATGTCATCTCCCCAAGCTGTCAGTGTGACGCTCGGAGTAGAGGGGTTCAGAGGAGCCCGTGTTGATGCGGTGCCCGCTGGTGGGCCCCGAGGAGCCTACAGGGGGTGTTAGTTGGAACAGCAGCACCCAGTGTTTTGAAGGTGGGCTTCCCTCAGAATTCAGGAAGGAAGCAGCACACTGAGTTCTGCTCTAAACTTGTAAGCCTGAGGGGCACAGGGACAATAGGACCCCCATGACGGGAACTTGGATGTCTGGTGCCTAAAGGACCCCACTCTGGCTGACTAGCACCAGTGTGGCCTCCTCATGCTTCCTGTATGCCTGCTCCTGGGCAGGCCCAGGTAAGCATGGGCAAGCTACCTGGGTAAGGGAAGGATCAGTGGGGGAGAAGCCAGCATTAGTTGTAGTTTCAGTCAAGGGGAGAGGCCAGGCCTGGCCCCACAACCTCCAAGGAAGCTCTAGATTGTCGATTCTCCTGGGGACATGGGGCATGAGGTACAGGGCTGCTCAGGCAAGAGCCCAGCACAGGAGCTAATGGGAAGTGTGTTTCACCCCCTTCCCACCAGGGGCCTCCTGCAGTGGAACTGGTTTCCTAAGCGGATGTGAGGAAGAGGAGGTGACAGTGGCAGGTGACCCCAGCAGGGACCCAGCAGGATGTGCACAGCACAAGTGAGGGGGGTGAGATGATTCAGTCCTCTTCTATCTTTATAGTATCGATGATTTTTGCATAATAACGTATCTAACCATTGAAACCTAACCGGTCAGTAAGTGAGAAGTGGGCACAGCAAGTGAATTTAAATTTTAAAAAATCAGCACGTAAACACAGAAGCTCATACACCTATATTCAAGCATGCCTACAGGAGAGGGCGAACACCCTGAGGGCCTTTCCTGGCCAGCTTCTAGAAGCACCGAGGGGCTTGTGTGTATGGAAATTCTGAGTCCCTGGCTTCCACAATTTGTGAAAAAATCGTGAGCAACAGGCCTAAGTGATAAAATAAAATTTTTAAAGTACATGGTCATTTACACAACATCGAACAGGAAACCCTGGGAGGGATGGGAAGCAACAACTACAAAAGAACAGCTCTCTCTCCCAGAGCTGATGCTCATGCAGCGCAAGCATCAGCCTTTGGGGAGAAGATGCTATCTGGTGGCTCATCCATCGTTATCAGGTGGGCCCTGAAGAACGCTTGGCCACAGAGGCCTGGCCCGGCTCTCAGAACGATGCGTGCCCACATGTGTGAGCAGAAACCAACTGACAAAAGTGTGCAGACACACGGCGACTTTGGCAACTCAGCTTGAAATGTTACAGAACAGTCCATATCCAGAGCACCAAGTTGTTATTCCAGCAGAAGGTTTTCCTCCTGTTGAGAACCAAGAGTGTGTTTTGTCTTAACCTGTTCCTACACACGCACGTACGCACATGAGCAGTGGCCAGTAGAGGAACCAAGAAAGTCCATGTGGAGACCCTCACAAGGCCCTGCGGTCACAGGAAGGAACATACACCTTCCCTTTCAGGGGCAACACCCTCCACCAAAAAAGGCTGAGAAGAGAACCAGTTCCCAAGTCCCACTCTCATCCTTCTCACAGCTGCTCTCTGTTCAGCAGCTGCTCTTGGGAGGCCTGGTGCCCTGGGTCCCTCTGAGGGGAAGGGACCAGAGAGAAGGCTACTGCCAAGGCCCGGATGCAGGCTACTGGTGAGCTGGGAGGCCAGCTGACCAGCAGCTACCAGACAAAAGGCACAGAGAAAACAGCGATGATGCACCCTCCCCCCACCCTCATGTGACCCCAGCATTTGAGGGAGTTAGGGTGTCTCAAAAGTAGATACCTCATTGAGTTCCCCAATTTCCCACTTGGACTTCCAGCCATATTATCTGAAATTGTTTCCTCAAAGGTGCCTACTTAATGCCCATAGACTATTGAAGAAAGTAAAAAGTAATGGAGCGTGATATTGTGTGTGTGTGTGTGTGTAGGGGGTGGGGGGTACTTGAGCACAGCCCAAAGCACAGCCTCCCGGCCCACTAATCCTCCCAGGTGCTCAAGGAAAGGGAGAAGGAAAATCCTGTGGACTGCAGTGGACGGTTCCACACACACAGAACACAACGTGCTTTGTTTGCACTCCTACTCTCCAAAGGCTGGGCTTCCAGGAAGGAGGTTAACCCTCTGCAGAGACTCGGGGATGCAGCTAGTAGAGATGCCCAGACTCTGCCACTACTCGAAGATTGTGGCCTCCCTGCCAACAGGGGTAGGGGTGGGGCATGCTAACCAATTAGGGTACTTCGGACCCATCTCTTCCCCCCTCAGAATAAACAAAAGCATTCAAAATCCAGGGTGCCCACCTTCCCACACCTGTCTCTACTCTGGAGGAGCCAGGTGGCTGTATAGCTATAGCCCTGTGGAGGGCATTTCTGCTTTGGGCATCAACAACAGAAAAGTTAAAGTCCATGAACACTTGGGGAGGATTTGCTAAGCAAAGGAGCAATTCTCTCTCTCTCTCTCTCTCCCCAAGCTCAAGCCTCTCTCTCTCCAAAAAGCCCCGGGCACTGGGGTGCTCTGTGCGGACAGCACCTGGGGCTTGCTGCGCTCCCATCCCAGTGTTGCCATTTCGAGTCTAAACTGGCTTCAGAGGAACTGAGGGTGGGATTCATTCCTGGGAAGGTCAGGTCGCCGGGTTGAGAGTTTACCTCTGGGGATTTTATTTCTACCCACTCTGGAGCAGCTCTCTAACTGGGAAGACGAAGGGGATCACCTGAGGAGGACTGAGTACTGTTAGAAGTTCCCGGTTTTCAGACACTGCCCCACTCGCCAAGGGAGGGGGTGAGGGGGAGGGGGAGAGCATGAGCTAATTACTTTTTTTTTTTAATCTTTCTAATTCCCAGAGGATTTTGTGTAAATGAGGGTAGCAGGGGGTACGCCCCGGGGAGGGAGGCTTTCCACCTTCTAACCCTCCAGGAGTTCCAAAGCAGGAGCCTGAAAGGGGTGGAGAAACCCAAATCCGTGCGGGTGTCTAAACTTCTTTATCCCCGACTCCTGGGGCTACGCCGCTGGATGGAAAGCTAAGGGAAAGATAAGTTTTAAAAATAAAACTCCCTATCGAATCCACGAGAATAAAGCCGTGCCCAGCGTTGGGTTTTGACTTCCGTTCCCACCGGGCCAACTCCTCGCCGGCGCTCGGAACTTCGAAGGGGCCTCCTCCTGGAGGAAAGGCGAGCTCTCCTCCTTTCACTTGGGAGCCAGGCTTTGTTTCAGACCTGGCAAGAGCGAGACTCGATCCCACAGACAAGTCGGCGTCCGAGCTCCGGAGGGCCGCGGCACAGCCGCCACGCCTGGGCCAGCCCCACCGGCCGCCGTGCACCTGGGTCCCGACAGGCGTCCAGCGACACCTGGGCCCGATGAGCAGCTTTTAAAAAGCATCTGCCCAACTGGCGAGCAAGCTCGGGGTAGCACCTCCGGACTCCGCGGTGGCGGGGCAGTGCAGTCCCGCGGCCGTCTCTGCACCCCCAGCCCGGCGCTGGTGGGCCCCGGGGTTCGCGGGGGTGGGGGCAGCCTTACCTTGAGGCTTGGAGGCTTCGGTGGCATTGGGCGGGGTCATGGCGATGCACACGTCCCCCTCGGGGAACTTGTCACACTTGAGCATCTCGGGCCAGTAGAAGCCGAAGAACTGCATGACGGGCTCGCACGAGTCGCGCACGGCCTCGCAGAGCCAGCGGCACGGGTAGATGGGCCGGTCGAGGCAGACGGGCGCGAAGAGCGAGCAGAGGAAGACCTGGGTGCCCATGTGGCAGTTCTTGTTGAGCAGGGGCACCCAGCTGCTGGCCTGCTGCTTCACCTCGGCCATGGTCTCGTGCTCCAGCAGGTTGGGCAGCACCATCTTCTTGTAGCCCACGTTGTGGCACAGCCGCAGGTCCACCGGGATGTCCACGCACTGCGGCGGCTTGGTGTAGAAGCGGCCGCTCTGGTACGAGCCGATGTCCGACTGGAAGCTCACGTAGTCGTACTCGCTGGCCGAGCCTGCGGCCAGGAGTCCGGCGGCCAAGGCCAACAGCACGCCCGAGGCGGCCCAGCGGCGGCCCCCCACGCCGCGCCCGCTGCCC